TGTAGGAAAATGTGTGCGTGTATGTGTGTGTCAGCATGAGAACATCATATCAGAATCTGTGCACCTTGATAAAGGCATTCTCTGTGGCCTCGAAGTGTATTAAATAAAACTCAGAAAATGACAACCTACCTGCTCTGCTACCATTGTGCTGAGTTGCGCGTCATTTGCCTGGAAGCATTTGAAGAGAAACATATTTAATAAATCTCACAAAAGCAAAATCATCAAAATCCTACATGATGGAGCATAGACAGATAAAAATATGTTAGGTTCACAACATCCACAAAGTAGACCACCTTTCCAATTTTAGAAAAGGAAAAAAGAATTAAGCCAGAATAATCATAAACAAATTACTGCACCTTTTTGTTAAAAGTAAAAGCACCAAAGTATGAAACTGCAGATGTAGGAACGCTCAAATTGAACTTTCTACATGGCATTAGCCATCTTTTATCGAAGTTACAATATATCATCGTACACATGCCAGGACTTAGAAATGCATGTACTCCTTCCATGATACATGTACCACTAGCTCCTCTGCATTAGACTCCAAAATTGAAAACATTTTGTCACACTGATTAATCCGATTTATTTTTCAGATTTTTCATTTTATTCATATTATTTCCTTCTCAACTTGCTTAGCGAGCCCTTAAACATGTACAATATGCAATAAATATCTGCGCCATTCCAAGCATCTGCAGCACAACACTACTAACTTCTGTCGTGAAACCTAATTCAAAGCTTTGTTTCATTCGTCTAAGTCATCACTCTCTCTTGTTTGCCTTTTTGAATTTTGATCGGACATGATACCAGTCACCATCAAGGACTCCCAACAGATCCACAGAGATCAAATGAACTACCAAACTGTAACCTACTCAACAGTCATCATTTCTCTTAAAACAAAATAAGAATTAGATGTTTCTATAGTATACGAGTACTTCGATAAAAAGAGGGAGGGGGGTGGGGGGAAACAACGAAGACAAGTTACACGATCGTTGGAGAATGACGAGGAGCATGAGGTAAGAGAGAATAAAGGAGCGAGGCTAGCCTGTTGCCGGGAGAGGTAGTCGGATTTGATGGAAGCGATGGAGGCCAGGAGCTCGGGGAGAGGGAGGATCTTGGCCACCTCGCGGACGGCGGCTTCCTTTGCCTCGATTCCCAGATCTTCCATCTCTTCCTTCCAGAGTTCCTTTGGCTCCCGGATCGGTCGCCGGATCCAAAATCACGATGCCTCTCTTCCCAATCACCTTTTCCCCCGTCTCTCTTCTCTTCTAATCTGTCCTCTCTTGATCGCGTAACGACGATTTATTTGCTCGGCTGCTTTTGATTCCACGGGATCAAGAACCGTTTCCCCCAAAACCTGCTTCGTTGATACCGTTTCGATGTCCCTCGGAGGTGCGAGTGGGTGTCCGTATGTGCGGGGGATGACCGGATCTCCTTCCTCGCGGATGCGGATGCGGACGCGGATGAGATCCTATAATTAGCACCCGGAAGGACATATTTGAATTAAGAAATAGTCATGTGTTCATTATAGAACTTATAGCCAATAGTAATTATGCTCTCTGTATTATGTTAAAATATAAAATAATTATTATTTTTTACTTTATGTTGTTTGTTCATAAAAAAGAGTATAACAAGGATTTATTGAATTATTTCTTAGCTTTTGTTGAATTTGTTGCATGATTTAATAAATATCTAATATTATCATAAGGGGATGGTTTATATTGAATTTTAAATTAGAAGTGAAATTGAGCGTGTCTTGACTTAATTATTGAATTAGGAAATGCGATAGCGTAATTAACATAAAAGCAATGTTGATGGGTGGCTAAATGATGAAAAATATATATTAAAAAAGTCAATACCGAAAATTTATTTGAGATAGAAATTGGTCAAATGATGAAAATAAATAGGCAATATTGGTCAACATTGATAGGAAAAATATTATTAATGTAGTGTCCGAGATTCATATTTCATTTGTTTATTTACGTGGATAAGGATTCAAGATATATGATTATCCTCTCTTATCGTTAATATAGTTGAATGTCAAGAGAAGATTATTAAAGTAGGTTGGTAATATTTCATAATTTATCTTTTTATGATCAGATATCAAAATTAATTGTTTATATAAAAAATAAAAATTATTTTTTAACCACTTATATTCACACTCACATAGAGATTGGATCGAAAACCTTTTCCGACCTTAATTTTTGTGTAAGGTGTCACTTTAAAAACTTTATATTTTTACCTCATAGGTATCTTAGATAATTATATAATTCCGAACTAATCATGGTATCAATAAATTCTTCGCATAACAAACATATTAAAAATATGTTGATGGGGTTGATTTCTTTTAACTTTGTGTGTATAAAAGATAAATATCATATTTTTAAATACTTAAAATATATTTTATTATTTTCACCTATCTCTTATGCTTATTTTTTAGATGAACATTGGTATCTCATAAACCAAAGCTTAACTATTAAAACCACCTTTATAAATATAAAAATAAGATTACGACTATCGAGTCTTCTCTATCCCTGTAATGATTCTTTCTACTTGTACTTACTTTTAATTCTGTATTTATCGTTTAATTTACATTGAACTTCGATATTGAAGGTAAAATATAATTTGAAGGGTGAACAAAGGACAATTAAAGTTTTAGGAACATATTAATAAAAAATTAGGTCCATAATTGAAATAATCAGTTTAATTTCTTCGATAATCCATCTTAATATAAAATAATGTTACTATCAATTAAGTTTCAAGATCATTATACCAAAGGTGACTTTCCGAAAAAAAAACTTATTTTTGGATTTTTTTTCGAGAGAGTATCCCTTTTCAAATATCCTAATCCCCATCGTATATGACTTATTATGACATTTTCAATACTTCCATCAAAATACTATAAGTTTATTTAAAAACATTATAGACGAGAGATATTGATTTAAAATATAAAAAAAAATTATACAAGTTAACAAACAAAAACAACTAAAGAATAAGAGTTATATGTTAGTTGCAGTGTTTTTGACACTTCAACCAAAAAATTGGAAGTTATTCAAAAACACTAAAAACCAGCAGAAATAGACTTAAAACCCACAGAAATAAACTTATATAGAAAAATAAAAATTTAAATAATTATCATTATTGGTTTACGAATAAAAATAACTAAATATGGAGACTCATTTTTTAAATAAACTTATGGTATTTTTTGGCACCTCCATCAAAACATTATAAGCATATTCAAAAATAATTTAATTAAAATAAATAAATTTATAATATTTTTGGCACATCTATCATGATATTATAATTTCATTAAAAACGTCATAATAAAGGCAAATAGAATATGAACAAACAAATAAGGAGAGTTTCATATACATGTCAGTTATATTATTTTTTTTCAAATACTATAATTATATTTAAAAATTATAATTAAGGAATTGTTCACCCTATTCATCAGTTCAAAATCAATTGATTAATTTGCTCTACCTACTAAAAAAAGCTATTGTGTCATGTTAGAGATATTTTGGAGATTATTAAAAGAGGAAGGTGCCTCTTGAAGAATATGAAAATAATATCTTTCGAAAAAACTAAAAAAAAGGTTTTCCTTAATTCATCCATTTACCTACTATAAGCTAACATATATTAAGTACAATAGTTTATCCTAAAAATGTTGAATTTATAGTGATGACATATGCATACTAAAATGAAACTAGAGGGGCAAATATAAAAAATACTAATTATAAGGATATACTTGTAATTTTTTTATGAAAAATGTATTCTAGTACTAATTGTACAGAATATCGATTATAAATAGTTATATTTATATACATGTAAAAAATATATTACCTTATCGTGGGAGCTAATTATAGATTATAAATAGTTATATTTAGCGTCTCGATCCTTATATTTTTAAACGTTGATGAGAGTAATAAATGGCGACAAGACTCGGGCTGACGTCAGCTGACCCAAACGAAGCTCACGCCTCGATCAACCCGGCAGAACCTGGTCAAACGAACCAGAACACAGGCTGAGGCCCATTAACGACTGCTCAGGCTCGATCCTTCATGCCACGCCAACAGTGATGTCAGACGCCATCAGAGGTACGATCCTGCTCCCTGCGGGCAGGCACATCGGCACATTAGGTAACACTAAACTCCCCTATAAATACCCTCGCGTTCTAAACGAGTATGAGGGGGAGAAAAAAAAGGAGAGACACACAGGAAAACACCGCACCACTCCACATCATTAACTTGATCGTCGGAGGGGTCGGGCCGAGCTTCTGACTCGACCTATGTGCAGGTACGAAGACAAAGCTGTTTCTTTCCAATGCCGCAGAGTGGAACCCTTCCCCATAGGACGCCCCCATGAGATCCTATGTAAGTGGATCCATGTAACCGACCGCATCGGCAACCCCCGAGGGACTCCGAACAAGATCCCCATCATTCGGACCTAAACCGAGCCGCGACGGTCCCGAGACCACGGCTCAAAAGTTGTTCAGACCAACAAACGTTATATTAGAATCTCAATATTTATGAAAGTGAAATATTTAATCTCATTTATCCTCGTATCATTAATTTATTAATAAAAATATTATAAAATTTATTTTTGAGCACGTGTTAATTCTGTCGTACTTTGATTTACTATTGAGCATGTACATTATTTTCATCGGTAGAATTGATGATATGAAAAAAAAAATATATATTTTATTTTATTTTATAAATATAAAAGATTAATATTATTTTTAAAATTATAAAAATTAAAAAATATTAAAAAATAATTACAGATAATATGTAATTAGCCATATACGCAGCCCGTTAAATTCGAACACAAAATTAATATGAGCAAGTAAATCCAAGAAAAGGAAACGAAGAGCCAACGAACGGTCCATATTAACCATTGGAGCTCTAACAATGCCTCCTGCATCCGCCACGTGGAGGGCCTTCCTGATCACATAAAATAAAGGGATCAGGAAAAAGGAGCAGAAATGAGAAAACTTCTGTTTATCCAACTTCTTTGCTTCACTATTGTCTTGAAGCTCCACCGTTGTCTCATTGGGCGTCTCCTCTTTCTCTGCTCCAAATGCTTCTCCTCCTCCCGCCATCTTCCTCCCTCTTCGCCTCCAGATTCAAAGCACATGGATTCCCCACTCCGGGCCGCCTCGACCGCCAGCGGATGCCTCTCCTTCACACCCCTCGGCGGCGGGGGAGCCGGCTGCCGGCGCTCGCCAGCTCTGACGACGTCGACGCCTTCACCAAGTACTCAGGCTATCTCTTCGAGGGCGGCGTGTCATCCGAGGCCGAGTTCCTGGACGCGTACGACCTGCCGTTGATCACCTCCATCTACCGCCGGAAGCCCTTCCTGGTCTTGCGACGATTCCTCCAGATCAGCACCACCTTCGGCCGGTGGGTCACGGTGCGGTACCTCGACAGCGTCTCGGATCGCTCGGATGAGATGTTTAAGGCGAGTTCCGTCCTCCTGGTTTCGATTCGTTTTCTTTGGTTCTTTTGATGGAATTCTTTTTGAGTTTTTATTTTTTGGTTGCAGACTAGGGCGGCCGAGCTGCGCGCAATTTTGCTGGAGCTTGGCCCGGTATGATTCTTGTCCTAGTTCTTCGAATGCATTGTTGCATGCATCTTTGTCGTGTCTTCTAAATGTTCTGCAATTAGCCACGAATTCGAGAATCTTTGAAATTTCTGTTTCGACATATTAAAAGTTGTCATCGTGGGATGAGTTCTTTTCTGTTGGCTCATAATGGCTTTTAGTTTGCTCTAAGATTACCGGCTGAAACCTACCTATTTTCTGTCAACTCATCGAATAGGTCTGGCGTGGAAGACGTTCTAAGTATCCTAGTAGACCTTTTGTAGCGTTTAGTAGTGATTTAAAGCATTCTAATAACTGCAGTGCCATTATTGGTCAGACCACACAAATATTTCATTGTGACAAATTGCTTTATTTTCGGCACTTGTCATGGTTTTTAAGCTGAATGAGAATCAGGCTCTATTGACTTCATTTAAACAATACTACTTGCTGCAGGCATTTGTAAAAATTGCTCAAGCGGTTTCATCACGACCAGTAAGTTCACATTTCTACCTTTCCCATATGACTACTTTGTGTATCAATAATATTCTCCCAAATCACTTGCCTTTGTTTTTAGTGATATCTGGAAATAAATTTAATCAGACTGTTTCTTGTTATATGGTGTTGTTTTCTATAGATTCAATAATCCATACGAAAGATTGTTTGCCACTGTATTTATAACTAACTACAAAGATTGTTTGCCACATGTGGACCATCTGAAATTGGGCAGTCTGCGTGCTAGTTCATTCCCAGACCTATAAATACATGTCATTATGTAATGCTCCAAGTGAATTACATTCCTTATTCAGGATACCTTTTTTTTTTTTTACAATATTGGAGTACTTGCATATAGGGGGCTGCTCTAGAAAGTCATGTGGATAGTTTTAAACTGCTTGATGCTCATTGGATCACCGAAATGTTGCAAAGAATCTTTGGCTGAAATAAACATATAAGTTTCCAAATTGACTCTTGCAAAAGTTATATTGTCATACACTAGGTACCTCTCTATCAAGCTTGATTATTGGCTAGATCTTCTGATGTTCCCTACAGAAATCTTTTGCAGCTCAAATAAGGGGGGGGGCTGTAACTTTGTCTTGTTTCAGCCATCTTGAAACAATTGAATGGCCTTTTCTTATTGGCTTTTAAGTACCAATTTGCTCTCAAAATGTGCAGCTAGCAGTCATTACTCATATTGAGAGCTATTGTTCTTTTTATATGTAGCTTTATCTGATACATGGTTTTCTCCACTACAATGATATTTTCATGACTATGTTGAGTTGCTGACCAAGGATTGAGGTCTTGGTCCGATAATGATCAGTATTGGTGCATTGAGTGTTTGCTTAGATAGCTTGGTACCACCCTGTACAACTGCAAGTGAAGAGAGAACTACGCACCAGGGAGGAGACAAAGATGACGGGAGGAGGTGGCGACTGCAGGTAGGGCAGGGATGGAGGGGAGTGGTGATGCAGGTGAGGAGGAGGAGGAGGCATGGAACAAGAGGCAATGGTGTAGAGAGAGAGACCAATTGTCAGAGTTGAAAAAAGGACACAAATACTAGTACTGGACAGTAGGCTAGAGCTTGACACCGGCTACTTCTGGAGTAGGGTAATCTTACTGGTCGGTACTTCTGGTATCAGATCACCCAGTCTGCATGATAATCGGCCATCAGACTAATAGGTACCAGTCTGTATCAAATGGTACAATAAGCTTTTAAGACCTTAATTTTGGCTAGGATTGAGAAACAATGAGAATTATCATCTAATATGACCACCTGCAGAGCTATTTATTCCAATCTATCATCGAGTATTCAAAGAATTTTATTTTCAATTGTCGAGCAGTCATTTTGTAATTTTGTAGTCATATATAGATTCTTTTTTGTCCCATTGTGAACTAATTAGGTACTAAGTCTCATCTTATCCATTACTTGAACATTGTTAGAGAGAAAGGAAAAGAAATGGGTGTTTCTCTATAACATGACAATTCAAAGTTCCATATCAAATTTTAAAATAATATCTGCAGGGTGCAGTTTTTCTATGTATCCTTTTCTCGGATGTCTATGTTTGAACTTCTTGTCCTGTAGGATGTGATTCCACCTGCATATTTAGAGGAACTGTCATTGTTGCAAGATCGCATAACTCCCTTTTCAACTGAGATTGCCTTCAATATGATAGAGAAAGAGCTCGGACAACCAATAGATATTCTTTTCTCTGAAATCTCACCAGAGCCAATTGCTGCAGCATCTCTTGGACAGGTTCTGAATGCATAAATGATTCTCTTGCGTTTGATAACATGAGAAAACTGAGATATAACCAATTACAATATGTTTCTATTGATTGATAGGTTTACCAGGCTAGACTTCGTTCTTCTCGAAAAGTCGTTGCAGTGAAGGTACAAAGACCTGGAGTTCAAGCAGCAATTTCATTAGACATATTTATCCTGCGTTACATTGCAGGGTTTGTGCGGCGAGCTGCCAGGCTTAACACTGATCTTCAGGTAGTGCTATGAGTTCATATTTGTCTCGGAAGTCTATACTTGTGGTCAAACCATATTCGTCTGTTAAGCTCTTCTTTTGAAGTAAATCTGAAGCTTTGCTTTTCCAAACTGAGGTTCTGAAATAAAAATTCGAGGAACTTCTTGCAGGCTGTGCTGGACGAATGGGCATCAAGTTTATTTCGGGTTTGTAATCCACCTTAAATTTGTTTAATGATTATGCATCAAGGATGAAGAATCTTTAGAAAATTACTGTTTACCAATATGAAGCTGTTGTGGGAAAACCTTAACTGATTTCAACATCAGGTTTTTGCTCAGTTTTCTTCAATCGTGTTGGCATGATGATTCAAGACATATGTTTGTTTCTTGTTCGTCCTTACTCCTTACAGCATTTTGGAAAATTGTTTTCAAGTTTGAACGTTTTTGCCTAAGCTCCTCTAGGTTCTTCAAGTAGCAATAACCTGATTGAAGCATGAATTTGTGTTTGCTTCCATATGATCTGGCTATTTTGGTACGACCACTTGACTTCTTTACCTTTGGTATACACTGTTTGATTATGTCTGCACCAACAACTACAACTTGCTATAATCCTCTATTACTTGGGCCTGACTACAGATCCTTTCTTTCTAGAGCTATAATAAATGAGCAATATCACAGCCATCAAATGTCTTATTTTTGTCCTAAAGTTCTAATAAGGGCTTGCTAGATAGTAGATATTCCTCTGTCTCTTCTTGTACCTCTAATTTGAGATTTCTCACCTTACCTATTCGGTGTACTTACAGGTTTTCTCACGTTGAAAACCAACTGTATAGGTTGGTAGAGACCAGTTTGTTGCTCGTCTAATGGCTGATTATTATGCAGTCCAGGCAATTTCATCTATTTCAGTTTTACTAATTAGTAAACTTACCACACCAAACTTACCAGTCAGCAAGCTGATTGGCACCGTGCTATCTGATAAGCAGACCATCGAATACTGGTACTTGCCATACCCTTTTGTTGCCCTTTTTTCTTCCTCTTCTTTAATTACTTTGCTTCTCCTCCATGTCATCACTGCCACTCCACTACTTGTCTGCATCACTATGTCACCACCTCTCTGTTGCATGGTATGGCTCCTCGTCCTCCGCCTCTGCCTGCTTCTCCATCACCACCAACACCACCTCCTCCTCCCCTCCCCCTCCTTTCACTCTCTCTGGTTGTAGTGGTTCAGTCAGATCAGAATGGTACCGTTCTGGCCGCTGGTTGCTGTTTCTACTGGATTGAGATTTTAATCCTTGAATACCCTTAATGTTTGTAAATGTAAATATGTCTTATTCTTTTCTTGTAAAACCATGCATCTAACTCAATATCCTTATCTTAGCGACATTGACCTTCTTGAATGCTTTTACTCAATTGTCCAACATTCTTATCTACACTTCATAACTGGCCTTATGACTTTCTTAGATGTTTTTTGTGACAATTCAAGGGGCATACATCTATCACAAATTATGCTAAACTTCATTCTTCCCTTTGATAAGTATGCTTTTTTAGCTTATAAACGATATGTTCTTCAGTTTCTCATCATAGATATTGGTTATGTTTTTGCAATACATAAGATGTCCTGCTCTTAGTTTCTTGAAAGTATACTGCTTCCTGAACGGTAATTATTAAAATGTCAGAAAAGATGTTTGACAATAAAATCATGAAATATTAAATTTCCTCTTTAATGAATCTAGAATCTAAATAAATGTTTCTATGATCACCATCTGTATAAATAAATCTAAGTTAGGTTTCTATGATCATCATCTGTAGATCAGACTTTAACCTCTATGATTGTTGACTTTGACTCATCAATAAGTGTACTGGTGTACGTGCTTGTTTATAATCCCATGTGAGATAAATGAGTTCATCTTCAATACACTTCCTTTTTGTTTAGCTTGGATGGATATAAGAGTTTATATCACTAACAAATTTGAAATCTCATAATAAAGTTGTCCCCTGACTTAAATCCATATATTCCCTTTCTGTAAAAGTGTAGATATTATGATCAATTTTGCTTATTCTGCTCATGCAACTGGTCAGAGGCATGAGAAACCATCTGTTGGACTAACCTTGTGCCTTTTCTGCTTTCTTTCTAGTCTTCAGATCTTCTTTCAAAAAATAAGTTTACAATGTTTTCCCTTCAATGAACTTTTTGTGAGTTCTAGTTTTTTTCAATCCGGGAAGTTTGGATGGTTTTTTTTTCCAATTTACACGACTGCTAATGCATCTCTTTTCCTAAAATCAAATTTGTGAATATATGCTTAGTGCTTCTTATTGAACACAGGTAAATCAATTTAATGCAGGAGATGGATTACCGTGCTGAAGCAATGAATGGACTAAAATTCAGGTAGGAACCATGTGGCAATGCTATCAACTTGTATTTCCTTATTTTGGTGCTTTCATGTTCACAAGCAACCTATGATGGCCTTTTTAGGTTATTCTTTCAGTAATTGATGGTTTCTATTGTTATATTCAATGGGATGAAGTGGATTCTTGATTAGTTGTGTCCATTTCATGGCAAAAGACATCTACAGTAGAAAATACTGATGTTGAACACTGATAATTTCAGAATATGACTATTAGTAGAATCAGAGGTTATGACTATTCAAATACATTAAATTACATATGTTGAATGCATGCTCAACTAGGAAGCTATATGGAGGACTACAGGATGTATTTGTACCAGAAATGTACTTAGAACAAAGTAGTCGCAGAGTCCTCATCATGGAATGGGTGGATGTGCGTGCTCTAACTCTTTTTTTATTTGTATATTTTTAGAGATTTCTTAAAGAATGGTGTTCATTCATGTTGGTTGTGCGAAATATGTAGGGAAATAAATTGTCGGAGGTCAAAGATATTTATCTCATTGAGGTAGAAATCTGGATTTAAATATTAGATAAGTTTCCTTTCATTTAATTCTATGTTATGCGATGTTTTTTTTCACTGATTAACGTCTTCCTTATTGTATGGCATCATGATCTTTCCAAAATAACAGGTAGGAGTATATTGCTCGCTTTCTCAGCTTTTAGATTATGGATTTTATCACGCGGATCCACATCCTGGAAATCTTCTGAGGACATCGGATGGGAAGCTAGCCTACTTAGGTAGGTTTAACCAGTATCTGTATGGCTCTAAACATGCATAATAAAATTAACATTGGAGCTTGTATATTTTTCTGTAGCAGTTGCATCTCTTAATACTGATTGTTGCATTTCTTTTTTTTTATGTTCTAGATTTTGGAATGATGGGCGAATTTAGGCAAGAGCTTCGAGATGGATTTATTCAAGCATGTCTTCACATGGTTAATCGTGATTTTGATGCTCTTTCAAATGATTTTATTACTCTTGGGTAAGATGATGCTTGATGTAGAACTCTGATTTAGGAAAATGGTAATCAGAGGCTGGTGTAGGTAACATTAAATTGCATCTATTTTCTTCAGTTGACATGTGATCCATGCCCAAATATGGGAAAACTACATGACAATCAGGCAAACATGATGAGTTTATATGAATTCATTGAGATATGCATATTTGTTAAATATTCATAATATGACAGAAGAAGATTCCTTTGACGACCTACTGTAGTTCCTTTAAGTAATGCCACTTTCAGCAATCTGGAAATTTGAATCTTACTGGTGAATTACAAATGCAGCACAATCATAGTCTTATCAGTGTAGGTTGTCACAAAAGCTTGTTACTTGTGACAATGAAGAAGTTTATGATACTAACTCTTTTCATGTGATCTGTAACATTGGCATAATTTTGTGCTTTACAGTCTCCTTCCTCCAACTGCACAGAAGGATGAAGTTACCAAGGCATTAACAGGTTCTTTCTGTTTCATAATGTAAACTTAATTGTCAAATTAATGACTTGTTCATCTGAAGAATCAATTCATTTGCAGGTGTTTTCCAAAATGCTGTGAACAAAGGAGTTCGAAATATAAGCTTTGGAGATTTGTCGGGAAATCTTGGACGAACCATGTATGGTGCTTTATATCTTAAAGTTCTTGTTATGGTAATATCAAGAAGCTTTAGGCTATAAGATGAGACACTTTTAATAATAACGAGAGGCGATGCTAGTTTTCATCTATTTCATTAACTTTTATTGTTGCAGTAGTGAATATGACTTGTCAATCCAACTAATATATCTTCTTAGAAAACTTTGAATGTCCATCAACAAATGCTTTTGATCATAATGAGAACTTTAAGAATTCACGGAGATGTTGTTTATCACTTTAGCTGGTTGGTTTAGGAATAACAAGTACCAATATAATCTTATAATCTGGTATCCTCTTTTCATTTTGGATCCTCTTCCTTGTAAGGAAAACACATGTTTGAGCCTATAGATAGTGATCTTCTTCTCAGTATTTTTAACTTTGCAACATGTCGTTGATCTGCTCGAAGACAGTTGAACATCAGAGATTTGAACTGGCCAACTAATTAGTTTATTCAATTTCTATTTGATAAAAAGGAAAGTAGTTGAAATACAATGATATGAAGCTTGTTATTGATTAGTCACTCCATCTTTAGTTTGTCCTCATAACAAGTCAGATTGTGTTTGAAGTCTTCTTATGGATCTAACGAGACACTGGGTTCTGTATAAGTAAAAGCTCATGCAATTCAATCTTAGAAAGACAGTTATATATAATAGACTTCTTACTTTCCATCAATTGGATTCTTATATGGAGCACCATATTAATAATATGCGTAAGGTTTGCAGTACCGCTCGGAATGGTTTGGTATGGGTGGTATTTACTAGTTCGATATTCAATCAGTTCGTAGATCAGGGATAATCGAGTGGTACAAGTTGTGTACCAGGTTATTTCTTGTTTTATTTTTTTCAACCATTTTTTAGGTCTTTTCCTAAACTCAGTAAATAACTGTGTTGTAGGGAAATCTAGGGGCGTTATTACATGCGCAGCGAAAGAACAAAAAATAAAAATCCCCAAATTTCCCATAAATTGTATTCATCGTCGTGGGAAGATTGGTGCGCTAAATCCGTAAAACCGAAAACTACGTATATGAAAGATTGTGTTTTACCTCGGGAGATCGTATATCCCTGAATCCCAACAGATTTGTAGGAGAGGGTGAAGGAGGTCAAGTGTTCTCCTCTCTAGCAGTGATCCACATAGCAAGGCTGCGATGACGCTCCTCAAATCTCCAAGCCTACTGTCTGAGGAGGAGAAGGAGAGAGGAGAATAGGAGATAGCAACCAAGAGAAGCTCTAGCCTACGAACCTTTGGTTCCCTCCTATTTATAGAGGCCCCCTATCAACTTAACCATAATGGATCCTATTATATTAGGTATTGGATCTTCATCAAACTACTCAAGCCTCTTAGAGTGGATCTCTATTCAATAATCTCTCATTGACTCTTATTTGGATCTCATCTATAGGATCAAATAATTCAGGGGCTTATTGGATATCCAATAAGATAGGGACTTCGGTGGATATCTCATATCCGAACCTTTACTCATCGCAATGCCTACCATATGTGTGTGACCCTCTAGGCCCAATATCGAGCTGGCCGTGAGTCATACCTATCAGAACTCGTTCTGGCTTAGTGAATTATTATCTCCATAATAATTCACTCGACTCATCGACTGCGGACGTACTAGGCCACTACGCTACAATGCTCAAACGATACAGGGGAATCCAATCCATTGGACTTGTCTGTCCTCAGTTACCGTATATCTATAGTCTCTTATCCATCTAATACCCCAGAGACCGTATACCGGGCATGGTACTGTCAGGCCCATACAGTTTCTATTCGAGTCTCGCCCTAATCGGATTCTCCTGGAGAACTCTCTCTCTCAATCCGAATGACCCTGGTCAGGGATTTGTCTGAGCAAGAACACATGAGATATTCCTCTCATGACACCGAGAGCGGATAATCCTCTATCGATACTCAATAACCCTTGTAAGGTTAGCTACCACTTCCGATGACCGGCTGTGCTAGATCTGGAACCTCCAGACCTATAAGTCCGGTATCAAAGAGTGGAGTTTTCATACAGGACATCCTTGGTGTCTCAAGTCTAAGAACCAGATACACCACTGGGACTACGGAATCACTATCTGACAATAAAGCATCATTAACCATCCAACATTTCGTGAACGGATCAATCAGTGAACTTCTTTTCCAATGAGCACCTGCACTGTATCCCTAGTGTCCCCACACGAGCAGCTATGAGATCAGCCACCTCCATCATATGTACGAGTATACAGTACACCAGTCAGTCCAGTTATCTTGATGTCCTTCTCGAGCAACCTATGACCGGAATTATATAGGATATGTGTTTAAAGGTGAATCAGTCTCATTATCGTAATCTCATCACAATCTGATTCCCATTGCACAGATCCATGTATATCACAATATATTCATGCAACATGCAATATAAAGTGATAAAATGTCTAATAATATAATTAGCAAAAAGAATGTATATTATGTCACACGTATCATCACTCATGTGATTGGTTTGCAGGGCACCTATGACCAGCATGTGTAACAACACTCGATATGCCTGTATGGACTGGTATGGTACTGGTCCAAGCCTTAACTGACATAGTATTAGTCTGAATGTTGACCGGTACACTACCGATACACAAAATTATGAACCTTGAATATGTAGATATGCAATTGGAAACAAATGTCTTTTCCTTCTGCAGATGGATTTTTATAAAAATGAAGATATTTGGCAATATTTTAGGTGATGAGAATTCTCTGGAGCCTATCTATGAAGAGTATAGGATCAAGAGCAGAAAAGATCTTAGTGCACTCACAAAACGAATGAACTTCTCTACCAGAATTATATGTTGTCTGAATGACTACACTAGCTCTGTATTGGCCTATGCTTTGAATTTTTGGTGATAGTCAATATATGTTATCAAAAAGACGTTTGTATCATTTTATTTTGTATAGTAGATTACCCTTAATTAAAGTTACCCTGTTACATTGGCCTGAATCATATATCATTTTTATAATAAAGTGGGGCTTGTTATACTTGGCTTCTCTGATCATTTCAACACTGCTGAAGTTTCTTTAGCTTTTATCTTCTATATGAAGCAAGCTTTATAAGGTTAAATGGAGACTATCATACTCCATACATGAAATTTTTCTGCTGCTCATTTTTTCCTGCCCCAGTTTGAAGTTTAACTAATTCTTTATATTTTCCTAATGTTGTTCAGGTACAAATTTAAGTTCCAAATACCATCTTACTTTTCTCTTGTCATTCGAAGGTAATCACGTGAAGCCTAAAATCCAGGACATACAACATATTTAAATAAAGCCATCTTCATTCCTTGTCGGTATCTAGGAACAAGGATGGCCACTTCATGTATACCATTGTTCAATTTATATTTTTTTGTTTTCTCAGTCTTGCTGTTCTGGAGGGCATTGCAATCAGTTTTGATCCAAATTACAAAGTCTTAAGTAGTTCATACCCATGGATTGCAAGAAAAGTTCTCACTGATAGCTCACCTCAGCTGCAATCTACCTTGCAGACTCTCCTTTATAAGGTTTAATATATTTACATTTCCTTCTTCAGATCATTTATTAAATTTCCAACTTGTGCTGACTTTAGTATCTATAATCAGGCATTGTAGATTTACATGCTGGACATTTCAGGATTTAAAATCTTTAACTCGAAAGCCACTTCCTTAAACTAACAATGATCCCTTTTTCCCTCTATCAGGAAGGAGTTTTCAGGATTGATCGTCTAGAATCATTGTTAACCGAGGTTGGCTGTTTCTTTTGTTTTTACATACACATACATTGAAGTTGCTTAGCACAACAAAATGTACATGATGCAAAGACAAAGATATTTAGGTTGTAAAGTCTACTCATTACAACATACAAACTATGCAAGCAACATCGTTTGTTTAAGTTGTCAGTTTGTCACTACTGGTTTTCTGTTTTGATGGGAAACTTATCTTAGATATTGATTTGTCTCTTCTCCAAGTACTAGTGATGATGTGTATGCTAATGCTTTCCTGTTGAGAAATTTTGAAGTATGAAAAGTGTTTGAGTTGGTCTAATTTACATAATGAATGCTTGCAAATGTCTGGGTATAGCTTTTTAATGAATAATGGAACTTTCTTTAAATTCATGAAGCCACAACCAAGTTGTTGTAAACTTGTAATTACATTAAGCAAAGCTTGATGCCACTCTCCTAACCTTGGAATTTAGCCTCATTGCTACATTCCTAAGCTCAATCAGAGTTAGCCAAGCAACTTGTCCACAATAACATGTTAGACCAATGTTCTCATTCTGGTTTTCCTGGAAAAAGGCGAATATCAACCAAAGAGCACCCACTTCAACCTGCTTCTGCTAGTGGCATAATCGATAAAAATATACAAATTCATGAGATTATATAGGCTTCATTGGTCATTGTTGATTGAAGTATGCATTTGCAAAGCTGTCTTTTTTTACTTAGAGATAAGCTATCCACGTTTGATTAGGAATTCCTAACCAATGGAAGTTATGAAAGATAGGACAGGAAAGTAGGACAGGGGAATAAAGATAGGACAGGAAAGTAGAAAAAGGAATGCTACTTTCCCATGCTATATAGCCCCACTAAAGTTCTTTGTTAAAAATTCCCACATTATAGTACCAAAATCCAGGTACATTGTTATTAGATTCAACGGAAAACAAGATTGAATTACTTTGTCCATCGGCTAGGTTTTAACCTTCTCTTAATTAATCTGTGGTTTAGATTTATAGGCCATAGCGAGGGTCCATGAAGAAGAGGGCTTGCGATCACGAGTCCTAGTCTCAACCTTTTATTTTATTTTTTAATTTTTAATTAGACTGGATTGGACCATCTGAAATGGGGACAGTTGCTGTACCAGTTCACTCCTGGACTGCCTGGTATGTACAGGTCTGTGTCACGTACATGAAAATGAACAAAAAATGGAGAATAACTCTCACATGAAGGTGCAACTGTTATATAAAATTCAGTTCTTATCACGAAGAAAAGCCCTGAAGAAGTCCAAGAGAAGCTTAGGAACCTCCATATGAGCTCATGATGTATATGAGGAGCTGGTTGATAAGGAGATAACCTACAGTGGAATGTCTCTGATGAGCAAAGGCGCCCAAAAGTACTACAATTGATGGTACTTTTACATTGTTTATGCTATCATATGACATTGAACAGGTCTTTATCATCAGTTGGTGGTGCAGTTTTGTCATTGTGAAGGAATAATGCCTTTTTATATGCTTTTTGGATCATAATAGGAACTCTAGCATAAGTATTCTCATATATATATATATATATATATATATATTTATGTATGGATGTATGTATGTATGTATATAATGGAACCTTAAATAATTTGACAGTCACTTCGTGCGAAGACCGAACAATCTCTTGTTAGGAAAGAAGTGGAAGATTCTGATTCAAATAAAGCAATAAAACAAGTACTCTCATTCACATTGACTGAAAAGGTGACAGAATATTTGCATTGACAATTTATTTTATTGAGCTCTGTCGAACAGTTGAACTCACGGGACCTGATGTTAGTAGTAATCATTCATTTTTCAGGGAGCATTTGTCAAGGAAATACTTCTGCAAGAATTTGCTAAGGTACATTATATATGTTTATGTTGCCATTATTATGATTATTTCTTATGATGCTTCCTTAAGGTTATAATACAAATTAGAGAACTATAATTACCATAGTAGAACTACTTCATGTAAATCATACAAACTTGTCTTTTGATATCTCCTCTATGCCGGACATTAATTTCTTGGATGAGATAAACAGAAAACGAGTCTACAAAAGCTTGCTGCTTCAGAACAAGGACAATATTTAGACCTGACTATATCATTGTAATAGTCATAAACTTCTCTCTTTTCATTCCAGAATCATGATTCACAATATCATTGATAGAGACTAACCAGAATAAAATTTAATTGTTTGTTTTGATTATGAGAGAAGAGTTATTCTTGACATCCCCAAGTTACATGTCTAGATAATTTTTCCCTTAAATAAATCTTGAGCAATCAAAATTTCTCTTCAGACCTTCCAGAAATTACAATTGAAAGTTTGTCTTCTTGTATGATATTTATTTTTTCATATTTGTGTTGTATATTGTCTTTATATTTGTTTTCTCTGCAGTGATTGACTCAACCTGATTTATTGATACTGAACCTTAAAATGTTTAGAAATTTTGGCAATTTTAACGGTAAACTCTTTGTATGAGGGTAATATTGGAAAAAAAAAGGAAAATGTCTGTGAAGATGCAAGGAGCATCTTGTATTAATTGTCTTTTCACAAAAAAGTTTAACAACTGATACTGCCGCATTATAAAAAAACCTTTTGACATATGAATGCTGAAAGAATATTATCCCAGTATATATCTGATTAAAGTATATAGTTGGAAAATCTGCTACATAAAGAAGCATCAGAATTCCAGATACTTTATAATATCAATAATTAAAGATAACTAGTTTCTATTGTGTAGGGAATAGATGCACTTGGCTTAGCAACTTTGGAAACTTTGACATCTGCTGCTGCTGCAAGGTTGCCTTTTACCATTGGATATTCATCATCCTTCATGGATATTGAGGACATTGCCAACTTGAGAACTCTAAATCGCCTTCTTCTGCTGCTATCCAGACTTCAGAAGAATGAGAATCCAAATTCAGTAAGATTGTCATCTTATTATAGCGTCATTTTTGACACTTGATGGTATAATTCATGTATTGTTAGCGTCATCACATATCACAACTAGCTAAGTGGCACAGAGTTAGGTGATTAGAATGACAACAAGTGCACCATTAGCATGTTCTGCTTTTCGAATGTTGCCATGAAAGATATACCATATTATCAAAATTTCCACAGAACATTCTTGAAACATCTGGTCAGATTGTTCATGCTAGTTTGTTGAGCGTTCAAATTTTCTTTGGCTAAGCTATATATTTTATCTTGCTGGAGAATACTACTCTAATGCTTTCCAATCATCAGGACTTTTGCTGATCAAGAGGTTCAAAACTAGCATTTTGAATAGTTCCAAAATTCTAGTCTTCAATGTTCAATAGAAGTTTTTGATTTGGTCTTCGTTTGAACCTGAAATTCTTTTGCAGGAAGTAAACTATGCAAATTCTGGAGAGAACAAAAATGCTTCTGTGGAGGAGCTATCTCTCGTTCTATATCAAATGACATCTGCACAGGATATTTTACCAATTCTTTCTGTCATTCCTGAGGTAAGGATGATATAATTCCTAATTCTTTATTTATGTGTCTGAACTATACTCTGTACTTGCATGGTAACTATTACACAAAATACATGCGTTTATTTGTTGTGGTTCTCTCACAATTGTTTTTATTATTGTGTAGTTTATTATAGCTGAATTAACTTATGTTCCCACAAACAGAAATATGTCTTTGCAGATATCTCAGTTTGTACATCTATGCTTCACTAATTCACTGGGTGTTTGTCAAAATAGGTAGGTATAGACTTTGCTGCTAGTATCTGTTGATTCTTTGCATGCAGGTACTTCTGTTGGTGACCTAAGTTTAAGCATGATTAAAGTATGGAATCTTGCCAGAAGGCATTTGCTGGTCATGCAGTACTTAAGTTTTTTGACCAAAGGACATGGAAGGCAAATGAGTCAAAGTGATATATTAGAATATCGGTAACATGTAATGGCTGGAACTGGCTATTTTTTATTACATGATAATATTTCCAATAAACAAGAAACTTCAGGTGCAGGTAGGCCAATTGAGGATGTTCGTCTTGCAATCCAACTATTAGCTGGGCAGACTGGTCATGTATTCTAGTTAGATTTAGCAATCTGGTGCCATACATAGAGGATATGAAGTCTGATGCTAGAACACGGTGATAATAATGAACTGATCAACAAACGTAAGACCCAGTAGCAGAAAAATCCCATGAAAAGATTTTGAAGGAAAAATAAACCAGGGAAACTGTGCATGTCAGAGAAGAATGGTCCCAGTACAAAGTACAATTTTTTGTCAGAAAAAGCATTTGTTGATTTATTACTATCCCTGTGACAAACTGAAGCCTACAAAATACAAATTTTCATGAAGTTTAAAATCCAAGATGAGCCATTGGAAGACAGTAACACAGAAGGCAGCAAATGCTCTCTATTAATAGGGCTAAAGGAAACAATAAATCAAGTCCATATCTGAGAGCTTGAGAATTATGGAGATGGAAGGATGACCCTATATCATGATCAAAGCAGAAGAGAAATCTGAGCTATTCCTCAAACTAAAATGCAGGAAATGACATCATTGGAATAGGTGGAGTTGAGAAGATCAGAAGAGAAGATATTCTTCAAGATATCACATTAATACAATGGATAACCAAGTCATCATGCATCAGGGTTGAGAGCAATTGAACTGCAAAATAAATAGATGTTGCAAGGTCTGATGTAAAAATGAGTTTGTGAAAAACTCGAGAGATCCTACAATGTAAAGAGCAATTGTCTAAAAGTGGAAAGGTGCCAAAAAATTTGAAGAGAATGGACTCATTGGTCATTATTAACTGAAACAGATCCTTCTATTAGATGGCATTTTTTTGTACTTTAATCCATTAGCAGTCTAGCACCACTCAAGTTCATGGACACCATGGATCCATTTAATCCATTAGATGGCATTAAAAGAACTAGTATGGATCCTCTATTATACTTGATTCATTCTCCTTTATGGACACCATGGACCCATTTACCACTTTCATGTATTGCTGAATGCAATGCTGCATTCAGCCAGATTTTGCAGAATTGTTGGCATTCATTTCCATCGAACTATTAGCAAATGTGTCTCATCCTTCATTTGTCTGATCTGACTGGTTAATACCAGTGGATATTTACTTTGTTTTTATTTGTTCTTCCTCTGTTCCATTCTGGCAGCTTCCTTCAGAGTCGCAACAACAACTGGTTCGTCTACCAGCAGATTTAGCTGGGAGGCTGTTGTCTCGTGTGGTAGCAAGATCTATCAGACGGATTTTTGTATAAGGCATGTACATCACCACAGATCTGCTTTTCTTCCTGAGATCATCATAACCCTATAACTTATCTAATTGTTTTCACATCTAATTGAAGTTGCTTCCAAGGCTCATTATTTGGCTCGCCTCCAGAAAGGGATTAAAGGGACTCAAAGTGATGCTTCGACTTGTTTATTGGATCCATGGTTTTGTTTTCTTTGGTAATCCCAACCACTGCAAGGTAAAAGGTGATATCTTTCCCTCTGAAAATTATGTACTTTAAACAGAGTTGATGTGTATACATGTATATATAGAATTCAGTGCATGCCTTGATTGCTTCTAGCAATATCTTCTTCAGTCATTAATTGATTCAAGAGGATCGAGATCACTGTATCTTGTTTAGCTTGAATTGTGATTCGAACGGCAGAGGGTAGATAAATGTGTGTGACTTGCATTTGAACAACTAGACTGATGCAAGTAGCCAACAATAAGGATTCCTGGCAATCCATGCATCTGTAATAATCAAGAGAAATGCTGTTCATTAGATCCTAATGGATAATATTGTCTTTGATCGTTAGCAACCTCTTGGATCTGTTGATGTGGTGCTTCTATTTGTCCACAAGCTGATGCACTAATTACGTCAGATGAAACCATTATAAACTGGGATATGGAGTGGAACATTTCATCAGCATGGAGAACTAGAATCCACTGCAAGGGAAGTCTAAATCAACTGCTGCCGCTTGAATTTGAGTCACACCAGATAACCTATCAGTTTGGTATTGACTTCAATCATTCCATGTGGAAAATATGGTTTTGAGACTACATTATGAGAAGATATTTGATCACCTGTGATGAACATATCCATTGTGGGGTATGCTTTCCCTGCTGTTGCTCTTAACAGTAAATTGTTCTCTTGGTAGTAAACATGGTGCATCAAAGAATCTGATTCATGAACAATATTATCCTGTTCCCTTGTTGATCTGCGCTATGTTGCATGGCTCCCATTTCAAGTCAAACTTTGCTGGAACAGTATACTCTCTCACATCATGTCCTATTATGATAGTTGGATAGCAATGAATTCCAAAAACTTTTTCGAGTTATGTAACTGGTTGGTCAAGTGAATTTTCTGCAAGAATTTGTTTGGTATAAGTTGGCATCAGGATCCCTTCTCAAGTGAAGGAAGAACAAAAATACATGGAACATATGCACTCTCCTGCATAGAGAATTCTGAGTCAATTTCTTGAAAGAATCTTCCAGGAAAGCTGAGTCGAGTCTATCTCAATCATCATTGAGATAGATGAGTTGAGCTCATCTCAATTATTTGGTGGCCATCTTATACTATATTTTCTCTTCCTAACCTCTTCTTTTCTCACAAAAGTTTTATGATCCCAAATCCTGCATACAACACATTATGTTTTTTTTTCCAAGATAAGATATTATATATTACCTACAGAAATGATTACAAGCGACTCCGAAAACATACATCCTCTCGGAAATATATCCATTTTATTATACATGATAAAATCTGTAGGTCAATTAATTAATAATTATGTTACATAAAATAACAAAATTATCTTAAATAAATAAATAAATCATTTCTACTACATTCAGAATCAACTAAGACCATAAAGTCATGCAATATATTTTTTCTAAAATTAAAACAATTTCATCTATCAACATCAAAAGCTTTAATTCCATAAATCCAAATTCTTTCTAAATATATACACTCGCTAAGATTTAGTTTTTTTTTTTTTTTTTATAGAGTAAGTGGCAAGATTTGAATTCCGAAATTGTTTACCAACTAAGCTAGTCATACTCAACTTTTGATCACCACCAAATTAATATTTATGATGTAAAATGTAAATTTTATAGTCGATTTGCTGCTATCCTATCCTCTCTATTAATATATCAAATTGAATAAAAAATAATAATTATAAAAAGAAAAAAAAAATAATGAAACGATTGCTAACAGCATAGCATTTATCCATATCACTCGAAATCTTATCAATTTGACCCACAAGCATATAGAAGAATTGAGAAACAGGAAAAAGGATATCCATCCTGTGGGCTGTTCCTAACGAGAGGGAGTCGAACACTCATTTCAAAATGCTGACAAATCGTGCCATAATCTACATGAATTTATGGCCTGCAGGTAAAACAGGAAGCAAGAACCAAAAGATACGTGGCACCAGAGCATGGTGGTTGGAGAAGAAGAAGAAGATGATGATGATGCACCTGCGAGCTACATGTCGCTTGAAGTCGCTTTTCTGATTCCTGCAGCCGCAAGAGACGGGGGAGGGGAGAAGCAAGGGAGGAAAAAGGCGCCGCCTTTCCGCTTCTCTGCTCCGCCGCCCAAAACTCCCACCTTTTTTCGTTTCTCGTCAGATCCGCACCGAGTTTTGATCTTACCCTTCCTAAAGATTCGACCTTTGTTTGCTTCCGGGCTCCATCAATCGCATCAAGGTGACTTTTCCGAGGTCTCTTCCTCTATTGCGTGAATCATGCGTTAGACGCTGCGTTTGTTGTACTCTTATTTGTGTGTGGATTTGCTTGGCACTTGCTCTTCCGCCTCAAAAGAGAACCGTTCTTGTCTTGGTGCTCCGCTTCAGCGAAGATGGTCTTCTGGGAAGGGTGGATCAGCGATGAGTTGATGGGCACCTTTTCTCCTATCGTGGTTTATTGGCTATACGCCGGAATGTATCAGCTGTTACCGCCGTTGGACCAGTACCGGCTGCACACAAGGAAAGAGGAGGAGCAGAAGAATTTGGTGCCTCTGTCCTCCGTGATCAAGGGAGTTCTACTGCAGCAGCTGGTTCAGGCGACGGTTGCAGGGCTGATGTTCTTGGTGAGCAGTTCAAAATCCTTAAACAATGGCTACTGATGTGGTTTCCATAAATTTAGTTCTAGATGAAGTCAATATTAAGTTGAAGGATCTCATAATAATTCTTTTCGTAAAAGAAAGTATAGATTTTGATGTATATGGTGTAGCATTCAATTAAAATGGATGTAAAATGTTTGTCTTGATCGATAAATGATTCTAATAAAAATGTTGGTAGGCAAATGATTCTAATAAGGCCCCTTTTGGTTGTCTTTGGTCCTTATCTAAGTAAGAGAACCTACATGTCTGATCAAGTAGTTAGGTTGTGTAGATGTTTGTAGATTGTGGCCTGTGTTAAGATAGATAGTGTGAGTACCATTTCTTTGCTTTATTGTTTTCTATGCTCTTACTCGGGAGTTTTACGAGTCACCAGAGGGTTTCTGTTTTTCATTTTTACTTCAGATTATATGGCATTTCTACTCGTTCTATTATAAATAATCATTTGAAAAGTTTGGTCCGAAAGTAGTTGATTGCATTGCATATCATTAAATGTTTGAGATGATGATGATGATACATATTTGCTACTTCTGGTTGTGTTGGTTAATGCTTAAGAACACCTTTGCTCATTTACATGGTATGCCTTTTGTTCCCTTTCTGTAAAGCAGTTGAATCTTTTCCTATCATTTAGCTCTTCTTAACACTTGATAAATGATACAATTATTTTGTGTTTGTTTTCTTGGGATATAATTACTGCTGTGCGCCTCATATTTTCTTCTATAACATACTCGAGTATTTGTGGATTTTCTATTTGTTCTGTCTTGTTAAATTTGGAGCAATTTAGGAACATTAGTTGAACATGAATACTGCTACTTAAGGGCATGTTTGATCACTAGGGAGGGAGGGTTATCAATCAGAAATTTAATAGCTGGTAGTGGCATCTTTGATCAAATTTGGTTTGGGAATGATGATAGGACAGGCAGATTGTTGTTTTTGGCTGGATCATAAATGTTTGACAAGTAGCCAACATTAAACAGGGAATGATGTCCAGACTCAGGTAGGTAGCTGTGTCTTTTATGATACAAGATATGATGAGAAAGGTGTTGAATACTGTAGGACCAGAAACCCAAAGTGCAACATCTTTTACAACCTTTGGTATAGTCTGTCTGCCCTGGCCATTAAGCTTCTTTTGTATCAGTTAATCTATTTAGGCTTTGATTAATAGGTTTTCACTAAATACATATAATCATTCTTGTCCCTATTGGAATGCCAATTCTGCCATTTTTTTTTTTGGCTTTTCCCATGGACCTTATCATAATTGACAAGGCATTTATTTCTTTAAATAAAAAATGTAATGTTTTTTTTTTCTGTATTCAGTCAGCCCAAGGTTTCTCGTTCTTCATTTGTACATGTTTACAAATTTGTTGATGATTACAAATGGAAGTGACTAATTATTTGATAAGACCCTAGGATTTTATTATAGAAGAAAAGAGATGATCACTCGAGGGAATCGACTTCTTTGAGGGGATCGACCTCCTTGATCACTTCGAGAGGATCGGTCTCCTAGGATTTGTCAAAAACCTAGAATAATATTTCATAGATCTCAAAAAAAATTAATACATCCATATTTGTAGAGTTCCACCTCTGAGTCTATCCGACTAACTAGACAAACTCAATAAAATATTATTCAAAGTTAAGAAAATAAAAAAGGATCGTAACATTATTATGGTCTCGAAAACTTAATGATATTGTATGCCTGATTTAATACCTTAAAAAGTAGCATTTGTAACTTGAGAATACTATGATATAATGTTTTAATGCCTGATTTAATGTCTCCTTGATCACTTTGAGAGGATCAACCTCCTTGATTACTTTGAAAGAATCGATCTCTTAGGATTTGTAAAAAACTAGAATAATATTTGATAGATCCCGAAAAGAAACTAATACATCCATATTTGTAGGGTTCTATCTCTGACTCTATCAGGACTTGGACTCCTAATAAATAAAGAAATTTTAAATTAACTAGACAAATTCAATAAAATATTATTCAAAGTGTAGAAAAAATAAAAAAAAAAAGTATAATCTCGTAAACTTAGTGATATTGTATGCCTTATTTAATGTCTTAAAAAGTAGCATTTGTAACTCGAGAATACTATGATCTGATGTTTTTTTATGTTGGTCTGCGACCTCATACTGCAGATTACTGCTAAGCCAAGTGGAGAAGGCAGCATAATTCAACCATCCTTACCTGTCCAACTTATCCAAATCATGGTTGCTATGTTGATAATGGACACATGGCAATATTTTATTCATCGATATATGCACCAGAACAAGTTGTTGTACCGCCATATCCACTCCCAGCACCACAAACTGGTTGTTCCTTACGCTATCGGCGCCCTTTACAATCACCCACTGGAGGGCCTTCTTCTCGACACCTTCGGTGGAGCCATCTCATTCTTGATCTCGGGGATGACTGCAAGGACGGCTGTATTCTTCTTCTGCTTTGCTGTAATCAAGACTGTCGACGATCATTGTGGTCTTTGGCTGCCTGGGAACATTTTCCACATCATCTTTCAGAACAACACTGCCTACCATGATGTCCACCATCAACTCCACGGCACAAAATACAACTACTCGCAGCCTTTCTTCTCGATATGGGACAGGTTATTGGGTACCTACATGCCATTCAGCTTGGTGAACCGTAAAGAAGGTGGGTTCGAGGCAAGAATAGGAAAAAGACTAAATGGCATGTCATAGTTAGAAGGTAGAGATCGAGGTGGTGTGCAGAACAACTCCAGGACCTGTTCTGTCGATAATTTTAAATCAAATTAATCCTCCTCTAAAAACTAGCTGGATTCTTGGTGCTTATCATTTGATTGTTCTTTCTCAGTTTGTTTGCCTTGTTTCTTGGCCATGTTTCTCTTACACTTGCTTACAAGATGTTGTATCTTGAGTTTAGGAGTTCTGAATTTTCCTCCCATGTAAAGAATTATTCTTCAAGAATGTTTTGTGAGTGTGGATTAAGGCTTAATTTCTGGGATGATTGAGACAAATTTTTTGCTTTTAGATATCTGCAAAATATAGGAGCACAAGTTTCTTATGTCATACCAAATCATATGAAAAAATAGGTTCTCATTATTGACATGCTTGTACACTTTTGCTTGGTTAAATTATACACTAAAAGATGATACAGCCTTTTTCTTATCTCTATGATTGTGCTTATATTGTTTAAAGTGTGTCATTAGTATTTCAAGGAGGCAAAGATAGGTAACCAATTGACTACTTATGAAGAGCACAAATGCTTGAATCATCATTAGCAATTGGCACCTCATAAATGCAGTGTTGACAGCTTACTTTCTGTTGATATTTCATTGCCCCCAAGAATGAAGAAACACTACATCATGTACTTTCATATGTTGCTTGTTTATCTTATACATTTGCAGTATGGTTATCTTATATTGGTCGGTGGTAATGTCAATACCATCCATATATATATATAGCTTGTTCTGAAGCAAGAAATTGTCTGAAAAAAACTCACCCTATGCTTGTTGGTATCTTCAACACTCTTTCTAATTTTCTCTAAGATA